GGAGGCTGTGGTAGTTGTGGTCTGTTAGTCCTTTGGACTAATCTTTCCCTTGTGTCTTTGGCTTTCTTCATTCTCCTCTGCTCTAGATGGGGTGGGACCAGTAGAGTATCTTAGATGCCCACTCAAAATCTTTTAAGACCTAAGGGAAACTTCTTTTTAATGAAGGCTTTAGTCTTGAAAGAAGGGCCTTAAGAGAAATTATTAGTGCTCTTTTCAAATATTTAAATGAGAGGTTGGGTTATGAGATGCTATCTTTTAAAGAACAAAAAATTTTAATTTTGATGAAGTCCAGTTATCAATTTATTTTTTTGTTTGTTTTTTTTTTTTAGTATGTTTTGCTTTGATGTTTTATCTAAGAAAATCTTTGCCTAACCCAAGGTCACAAAGGTTTTCCCCTGTAAGTTTTGTAGTTTAGGTTTTAGTTTTTAGGTTAACTCTGTGATCCATTTTGAGTTAATTTCTGTGTACAGTGTGAGATATAGATGGAAGTTTCTTTTCTTTCTTTTTTTTATTATTATGGATATCCAATTATTTCAGTACCATTTGTTGAAAAGTCTATCCTTTCTCAACTGAATTGCCTGGGAATAAGTCTCCACGGCTCTCAGTTTTACCCTCTGGGTTTTTGGTTCTGCCCTCTGAACCATCCTTCCTTTTTAATGAAACGCAGCACATGTTTGCAGCTGCGTAGTTTTATTAGCTTGCTTCCTGCTAGTAGAATTTTGGGAGTCCAACAGTCTTCTTTCTTTTTGTCCCCTCTCTGTCCCTTTCAGATGAAGTTGGTAATGTTTCTGCTGAAATAAATTTTTGAAAAACTTTGTGAATCTTATGTGGATTTCTCAGGGATTCACTCCGTTAGTAAAAAGCCACATCCACAGATCTTTTCAAAATAATCACTTTTCAACTTTGGCTTATGCTGAGATTGCTGAGGGACAACACCTTTGAAGTTCCTAGAGGTCCTCTGGTTTGATTGAAAATATCTGTGAGGCACACCCTTAATTTCTTGAAAGGGACCCTTGTGTGATTGAATAATCTGAACTTTTGATCTTTCTGAGATATTAGCAAAAGTATAGTCATACTCTTCACCTTTTCCCTAAATCCTGCTTTCCTCTCAATGCTCTTGATTTTGGTGTGTTTTTGTCATCTGGAGAAGCCGAGAATTTTAAGAATCATCAAGTCCTGTTTCCATTTGAACAGTTCTTCCCTCAATTTATCTCTCTTCTCTTACATTTTAGTATAAGTGGAAAGAAGAAACCAGCTGGCACCTTCAAAATGTTGCTTGGAAATCTCTTTAATATCCAGGTTCATCGCTTTCAAGTTCTGCTTTCCACATAACTGCAGGGTACAATTTCACTAAGCTTTCTACCAACTTAACAAGGATCTGCCTCGCTTTAATTTCCAATAACATGCTCCTCATTTCCTTCTGAGCCCTCATCAACAGCATCCTTAAATTCCAGATTTCTACTTGCAGTCTGTTCAAGGAATTTTAGGCTTTCTCTGTCATGCTACCCAAATTCTTTCATTCTCCTCCCACTACCAAGTTCCAGAGCCACTCTCAACATTTTAGGTGTTTGTTTCAGCAGCACCTCATTTCCTGGTGCCAAACTTTGTATTGAATTTGTATTACTACATAAAAAATAACCACAAGCTTAGTGTCTTAAAACAACAAAAATTTACTACCTAACAGTTCCCTTGGGTCAGGAATCTGTACAACTTAGCTAGGTCCTCTGCCCTAATACAAGGCTTAAATTAAAGTTTCAGCTGGGTTGCATTTTCATTTGAAGGCTTAATTGTAGGAAAGCAACTAGTTCTAAGCTCATGCAAGTTGTTGTCAGAACTCATTTCCTTGTAGCTGCATGCCTGAGGGCACTACCTTCTTACTGGCTGTCATCTACAGGTCACCTTGAGGTCCCCATAGTGTCCTGCCATGTGGCCCTCTTATGTGTCCTCTTACAACCTGGCAGCTTACTTCTTCAAGGCCAGTAGGAGAATCTTTCACTCCACTCTGCTAAGAATGAATCTCATATAATGTTAACATAATCATGAGAAGGACATCCTCTCACCTTTGCTGTGTCTTATTGGTCAGAAGCAAGCCGCAGTTCTGCCTGCCTCAAAGAGGAAGGGATTATACAAGCGTGGAACTCATTGAGAGTCACCTCAGGGTGTGTACCCCATAGATGATGTAGTAAACTGAATATTATTCCCCCCAAAGGCATTTGGTCCTAATCCCTGTAATAATTTTACCTTATTTGAAAAAAAAGTATCTTTGCAGATATTATTAAATTAAAGGTCATGAGATAAGAAAGGTATCCTGGATTATCCAAGCAGGCTCTTTATTTAGTCATGTGTATTATTATAAGAGGAAGACTAGACAAACACAGAAAAGATTGGCATATGAAGTTGGAACAGAGAGGTTTGAAGACGCTGGCCTTGAAGATTGGAGTGATGCAGCCGTAAGTCAAGGACGGCCATCAGTCACCAGAGTAGATTCTCTCATAGAGCCTGCAGGGGGAGTGTCACCCTGCTGACACCTTGATTTTGCCCCCCCTCCAAAAAAAAAAGAAAACACCTTCGCAGTCAAGTCGATTCCAACTCATAGCAACTCTATAGGACAGAGTAGAACTGCCCCATTGGGTTTCCAAAGCTGTAAATCTTTACGGAAGTAGACTGCCACATCTTTCTCCTGCACAACAGCTGGTAGGTTCAAACTGCTGACCTTTCAGTTAGCAGCCAAGTGCTTAACCACTGCACCACCAGAGCTCCTTGATTGTGGCCCAGTAATACTGATTTCAATCTTCTGGCCTCCAGAACTATGAGAGAATAAATTACCATTTGTGTGGTAATTTGTTACAGCAGCCACAGGAAACTAATACAGATAGGTATAAAATCATAACTCATTGTTGCTTTTTTAATAGATTTCACTGATTACTCAATGAGGCTAAGTATCTTTTCATAAGATTATTGATCTTTCAGGTGTTTTCTTCTGTGAATTTTCTGACTCATGTCCTTTGTCTGTTATTCTTTAGGATTGATTTCTCTTTTTATTGATTAGTTGGAGTTTATTACATAGTCTAACTACTAATCCTTTGTGAATAATATGTACTAATGAAGTTGTTTATCTTCTGCTCTGTAACTTGTCTTTTTACCTCATTTATGGTGTCTTCAGCACTCAGAAGACTTTTTTCAAATTGTTTTATTATGGGTAGTTTTAAACACACCCAGAAAAAGAGAGACTAGTATAATAAATCATCCATGTACCTATTACTCAGTTTCAACAATTAGCAATATTTTTTCCCAGAAGTATTCATCTTATTCTTTAGGATTGGTACTTTTTTATGTGTTATCTAAGAAATTCTTAAGTAAAGGTTGTGTTGCTATTATTTGTAAGACCAGGTATTTCTGTCATGATAACTGGTTGTTTTTCACTTTTATATAAATGTTGTTCTATGTGTAACAGTTTTTGATATATACAAGTTTTAATATATACCTCTACCCGTGTGTCTTAGTTATCCAGTGCTGCTATAACAGAAATACCACAAGTAGATGACTTGAACAAACATAAACTTATTTTCTCCCAGTTTAGGTGGCTAGAAGTCTGAATTCAGAGTGCCAGCTCTAGAGGAAGGCTTTCTCTCTGTGTTGGCTCTGAGGAAGGTTCTTGTCCCTTTGAGCTTCTGCTCCTAGGTGATCTTCATGTGGCTTGGCATCTCTCTTCCTCTGTCTCTGCTTCTCTAGCTTGGTTGTTTAATCTCTTTTACATCTCAAAAGAGATTGATTTAAGACACACCCTATGCTAATCATGTCTAATTAACATAACAAAGACAACCCATTCTCCAATGGGATTATAACCACAGGCATAGAGGTTAGGATTTACAACACAAATTTTGTGGGGACACAATTCAATCCATAACACTGTGTTAATCTGTATTTTCTTCCTGAACAGCCTGTACTTTTCTTGTTTAGCACAAGCTATAGATTCAGACCTTGGGAATTCACCATTGTCCCAGCAGTGTCATGCATGTTACCATAGAGCTTGTTGAACATGCTCTTATAAGAAGGCTAGTTGTTCAGAAGATGTCAAAATATAAGTCTGAGTCAACTACATTTTACAAAGTAATTGCTCTCTCTCTCTCTTTTTTTAGTGTGCCACCTGGGCTTGAAGGCATGAAAGAACAGGACCTCTGCAACAAGATAATGGCTAAGATACTAGAAAATTATCATACCCTGTTTGAAGTAGAGTGTACAGAAAATGATAACCAGAGGTGTGAAAACCTGGCTAGGCTTATCATAGTAAAAGTAAGTAACTTTGGTATTTAATTTTCAGTATTATTCTCATCTGGATTGAAGGTGTTTTCTTTAAATCGTTTTCTGTCATAAAATGTCCAGGTGGGTATAACTTCTGATTATTATATCTCTGTTGAATTCTTTTCATGAAATCTGTTCTCTCTATCAAGTGTTTATTAAACTGATACATATTCTTCTAAGATTACAGAATGATAGTGATTTTACCTTTCCTTGCTGCAATCAAACATCTCAGAAGCGCTTAAGTGAGTTCAGTGCTCTGGCTAATGGACCTCACCACCCTCTTTTATGGAGGCCTGCTGTTACAGCAGTGAGATGTGTGTGTGGTTTATTCAGGAGTGCTAGCTTACTAACTCAATTGTAAATTCCTGAAAACAGTATTGTTGTGAGTCTTTTTATCTCCCTTGTGTCTGGCACATCTTCAATATCCACTTCAGATTTTAAGTTCCATTTACGTAGTCCTTGGGAACCATCATCAGTAAAGCAGAGGATTTCAAAAACATGTAAAGGAGTCTTTGACAATACTATTTAAGTTTTTTTAATATACTTACTGATAACTCATAGCATATCCCTTTACACATTCGGAAAATTCATGTAGATCTCTAAAGACCTGCAACTGAGAGTCAGAGGATAAAGCATCAAAATCAAATCCTCGAGATGTGGAAAAAGAGGGAAGGCAAGTTATTTTTTTTCCACTTACAGAGAGGTAAATTGTGATGGAGCTGATATGAGAGCGTTCCTCAGGAGGTTTCCTGAGACTTATCAAATTTACAGACTGAAATCTACTTTCGTTGATTCATATGGTGATGAATGATAAAACCAGAAGCACTTGACTTGGGCATTGAAGAGGTGTTTTCATCTCTTCTTCCAGTTGAGGCCATGACTTTGAAAAAGGTAATGGGTATCAAATAGCATCCTACAAAAACAGCAAAAGAAGACCAAAAGTAGGTTTTCTTGACTAGGACTTAAGCTATTAACACAACAGACTCCTTATAAGGTATAGAGCACATCTCTTGAGAACTGAGGGGAATGCGTTTAGCAGGATTCTTGCCAACCAGATAAAATGAATTTTAAACTGAAATTTGAGGAAAGAGGAGAACAATGCTCGACAAAATGAGATACTTTTGAGAAAAACAGGTATAACCTGGGATGGGGGTAACATGGTAGCTGAGAAGATGTGCCAGTAATTCACAAGAAAAAATAATAGGGAAAAAAGTTTATTACAGTTTTGCTACAAAAAACTAAATTATTTTTAAATAGAAAAACAATCTCCCTTAAATTCGCTCCTTTGGTTCCTTTGCAAAGGCTCTCTTTTTAAAATCTCTATTTTAAAAAATATTGAAAGGCTATTGACTTTCTTTTTAATACTCACACCTTTTTACTAGGGCTGATAAGACAATAAGATAAACCTAAAACGTAATGAAAATAGGTAAATATAATCTCATAGGCAGGACAAACTTGCTGAAATAGAGCTAGTCACTGGAACACAGCAACGAGTAGTACTGTGGTGTGCAAGTAAAATACACCTGTTGTAATATGTGTTAGAGTGCCCTGATTTGAAATCCTTAAGCTACTAAGTTTAAGCATGGTGGAGAACATAGCATGAGTGTACAAGATAAGACACATAAATTCATAATATCATGGGAGCCAGATATCTTAGGTGGGTGAAGAATATGACAGCCAATCTCTTAATCACTGTGCCACCAGGCCTCCTGTACTAGAGTAGGTGAGGCAATATCTGCAGCATTACATTTGATTCTGAGTACTACATTCTCACTCCGCAGAATAATAATGGTCCTCATTTATTCTCACTAAATATTATCTTTGCCTGGGTGACTGCCTTTTACTTCAGTTACCGTACTGTTGATGGCTTCCAAGTTATAACTCCAGCCTCAGCCTATCTGAAGAGCAATTTCGTTGTTGTTGTTAGGTGCCATCGAGTTGGTTCCAACTCATAGCCACCTGTGTACAACAGAATGAAATGCTGCCTAGTCCTGTGCCATCCTCACAGTCATTTCTATGTTTGAGCCCATTGTTGCAACCACTGTGCCAATCCATCTCATTAAGGGTCTTCCTCTTTTTTGCTGTCCCTCTACTTTGCCAATAATGATGTCCGTCTCCAGGGAATGGTCCCTCCTGATAACACGTCCAAAGTAAGTGAAACGATGTCTCACCATCCTCGCTTCTAAGGAGCATTCTGGCTGTACTTCTTCCAAGTTTTGTTCGTTCTTCTGGCAGTTCATGGTATTTTCAGTATTCTTCGCCAGTACCGTAATTCAGATGCTTCAGTTCTTCTTCGGTCTTCCTTATTCATTGTCTAGCTTGCACATGCATATGAGGTGATTGAAGAGACCATGGCTTGGGTCAGGCACATCTTAATTCTCAGAGTGACATCTTTGCTTTTTAGCACCTTAAAGAGGTCTTTTGCAGCACATTTGCCCAGTGCAATAAGTTGTTTCATTTCTTGACTGCTGAGTCTATGAGTGTTGATTGAGGATCCAAGTAAAATGAAATCCTTTACAAAGTCAGTACTTCCTAAGAGCAGCAGAGCCATATTCCTCACTACCAAAACAAACCGTGCTAGTGCCTTAGACTTACAGCACCCAAAACATCACCTCCAAAACATTGTCTGCTTTTGTCCACTCCAAACTTGATTGATTGCATTGCGAAGACCCTTGGTCTACCAAGCTAGAGTCTTTAGTTTTATTCTTAACTCTTCCTCCTTTACCATTCCCACTGGGGCTCACATTCTGCCTTAGACGTATCTCTTGAAATAGTGTTTCCTGTCCACCTCACTACCACTGCCTTAGATTAGGCCCTTATCATAAGCATACAATTTCAAACTGTTTGCCCACCGGTTATGGATTGAATTGTGTCTCCCAAATATGTGTGTTATAAATCCTCACCTCTATGCCTGTGGTTAAAATCTCATTTGGGAATGGGTTGTTTTTGTTATGTTAATGAAACAGGATTAGTGTAGGGTGTATCTTGAGTCAGTCTCTTACAAAATATAAAAAGAGCAGATTAAGGAAGCAGAGATGGGGGAAGAGAGATGCCAAGCCACGTGAAGATCACTCAGGAGCTGAAACTCGGAAGAGACAAGACCTTCCTCCAGAGCCGACAGAGAGAGCCTTCTCCTAGAGCTGGTGCCCTGAATTTGGACTTCTAGGCTACTAGACTGTGAGAAAATAAATTTCTGTTTGTTAAAGTCACCCACTTGTGGTATTTCTCTTGTAGCAGCACTAGATGACTAAGATACTGCCTCCAGGCATAACCTCTTCCCAACTCCTTCTCACCAGTGGTAGAATTATGTTTCTAAAAAGCAACCTTGGTTACAACGTATCCCTGGTTTAAGTAAACAAACATTTGTTATTTTGCTCCCATCCCCTTTGCTGAAAGCATAAAGTTAAGACTTCACAATCTGTCCCCAAACCACACTTCCCCTGATAAATACTTGAATGAATATTGAATGAATGGTCCTGGTTTTCTTCCTGTTTTCTGGCTTCTCTTCATTCTCCTTTGAGGACTTTTCTTTTTCAGTCAGGCTCAAATACTGTTATTGTCTTTCCTAGCTCTTACATCCAGAACTCACTCTAGCAACCATACATATATATCTAACTGCCTGCAAGTGCCTTGTACCTGCATGCCCCATGGACAGTTGCATCATCTCCTTGTTCTTGAAGATCTAATGCTCCGTTTGTGTTCTGGAGCTTAATGAATGGCCCATCCATCTACACAATCATTTCAGGTTGATATATCATCAGTCACCAAGACCTTTTAATTCTACCTCCTAAGTGTCTCTATATAGGGTAGCTATGAGTCAGAATCAACTTGAGGGCAACGGGTTGTTTTTTTTTTTTTAAAGTTATCTCTTAAGTCTCTCCTTTCTTCCCCAACCCACTGGTATTGTCATTGTGTCTCATCTAGACATGAGAATTCCAAACCTGGCTCATTATCACAATCACCTTGTGACTGCAGACCTACTGAGTCTGATGGTAGAGCTCCAAAATCTAAATTTTAAAAGGCTCCTTTGGCAATTCTAATAATCAGCCCAGTTTGGGAAGTGATTGATTATTCAGATACTTTTACATTAGGCTCCGACCTGATTTCCTTAATTCTAGCCTGTGCCTTGACTCCATTTTCCCTGTTCTGCTGCCTGAGTTATTTCCTGTCATATAAATATGCCATTTCCACATCACACTCTCCAGTAGTACCTCTTTGCCTATCCCTAGAATATAAAATCTAAATCCTGGTACAACATATGAGGCTATATGTGATTTGAGCCCTCCCTGCCTAGTCACAGAGCCCTGGTGGGGAGGTGGTTAAGAGCTCAGCTACTAACCAAAAGGTCATCAATTCACATCTACCAGCTGCTCCTTGGAAACCTTACGGGGCAGTTCTTCTCTGCCCTATAGGGTCACTATCAGTGGGAATCAACTCAACGGCAGCGGGTTTGGTTTTTTTTTTTAACCTGGTCACAGTTCTTCTCCACTACTTCTGCCATACATTTGATGTGCCTGCAGTTATTGATGTTATCATAGAAACCATGTTGTCTCAGGCCTTATGCCTTAGAACATGCTACTTCCCCACTTGTCAAGCTAGCGAGCACAGTGTCTGGCACTGAAAATTCCTTAAAACCAATGACTGGACCCTATTTATTTATTTAACATAAAATAGTGTCTATGATCATAGTTTGTATATACTATGAAAACAATAATAATGAAAGATTTAGGAATTGAAGAAAATTAGAAACATGACCATTCATTGAGTACTTCATGACTAGCATATTTAAGAAAAGTTACTAGATACTTCTAAAGTCTTTAACAATTCTAGAAGGAACACTGATATTAGGCTTAAAAAAAAAAACGAAAAGCAAAGCAGTTGCCATCGAGTCAATTCTGATTCATAGTGACCCTATAGGACAGAGTAGAACTGCCCCATAGGGTTTCCAGGGAGAGGCTAGTGGCTTCGAACTGCTGACCTTTTGGTTAGCAGCCATTCTCTTAACCACCTATTTCTGTAATCTGGCTACTGAACTTAGCAGTGTGACTGTGCACAACTTATAATACCTTTGTACCTATTTATTCTCACCTAAAATGGGGAAAACCCTATAGATTTGTTGTGGATTGAAACCATTAATGCTTGTAAAAGTGTTTTTAAAACCAGTTAAACATAGATATGTAAGGTATTAAATATTTTTTCTTTGAGTGATAACATGGTGAAGAATAAATGATGAAATTATTGGCTTTCTTTGAAATGGTATGATCAGAGACATACTTCAGCTGGTGTGTTAATAAGCACAGAGCACAGAGTTAAGAACTCCAGCTCTGGAATCAGACTGAATTGGAACTTCCAAGTCATGTGACCCTGGGCAAATTGTTTAATCTCTCCTTCAACTCTGGTTTTCTCATCTGTAAAATAGGAAAAATATCAGCAACTAACTTGCAGGGTTTTTTTGTGATGATAAAATGAGATAATGATAGCAAGTTTTTAATAAATTTTAGCTTTAAAATAAAGTAACAATTAGAGTCACATCACCTCTAAGATATCATCTTACTTTAACTTTTTAAAGGCAATCAGGCTTGATAATAGAAGAAAAACTGAAAGTCAAAAATAGACAAAGTTGCCAATCAGATGTGTTACTCATGACAGACAAGTTACTGCTTCTGCGTGTTTCTTCTTATTAATTCAATATTCCAGCTTTTTTAATGTGATTAAATTAAATATCCTTTTGTCAAAAACCTGACTGGGGCTTCAATGGACAGAAGGGTGGGATTTTAGTATTTAATATGTCTAACCAGAATCTGCTTTCCGAAAATGAATATTATTCTCTTTTATTTA